AGAGCTATTATAGATATAGGATTAACCATACAATGTGGTGATATGACCGCAAGCGTCGATAGACACAAAACTACAGCAAGGCTATGATAGGTGAGAGGACGTGAGATGTTGCGTTAATCTGCCCCGTAGGCGCACATCCGTAACTCATTACTCACTTATCCTCTTACTAATACGCACATACACACAATTAAACCCGTCAACTTGTCAAGAAAAAAGAAATTTGATTAGCAGGCAATTAGAATTTCTTCAACATTTCCTGTTGTTGTTGTTGTTGTTGGGCTAAGTACAGATGCATAAGGTCAGTATGGGCATAAAATGTTGGAATTGGCAGGAGTGGGCGAGGAGGGAATGGATGAGGTGGACGAGGGAAGACGACTTGACTGTACGGAGGGAAAAGTGCCGCTGCAGCTGCGCCATACTGCTTGAAGGCATCCATTCTGGCGCGACTCATAGATGAAGGCCGTCGTCGTAGTTTGCCTGTAGCGCCACCGATAAAGACTTCGTCTTCGCAGGAAGCATCTAGCATCCAGTAGTTACCTAAAATTTTTAAAAAATGTAACATATTTCGAAAGTTTGCTGGAAAATTGAGGTAAAGTTCTATTATTACGATCTCTATACTACTAACTTTAAATCAAGCGTTAACAATGAATATTAACAGCGATATACCGTCCTTATTCGTTGAGTTGGCGATACAAGCTGTTTTAAAAAGTAACATTTCAAACTCACATGGTCTAACTGCTATACAAAGAATATATCATCCGTAATATTCGTCAAAAAAGGCCAAACACAATTTAAGCTCACCTTTACCGGGATCATCAAAGCTTCTTGGCACCTTCACGAAGCATTTGTTCAACGACAAGTTGTGACGAATCGAGTTCTGCCAGCCTTGCTTATTATCACGGTAGAAAGGATAATTTGTCATAATGTAGTCGTAGATCCCAGACAGAGTTAATCTAAATTTTTTGGGCACTTTTTTTGTAATAAACAATATCGCAAAATGAGTGACTAACCGCTTCTCACTACTGCTTTTGATTGCCATCATAATGAGCGCGTTGTAGGAGAACGGAGGCTTATCGTTGGAATTTGTCTTCTTTTCATTATCCTCTGATGAGCCTTCTGGAGATTTCGAGAAGTCCTAAAAGCATTATGAATTTAACTATGCAGTAGAATTGGATTTTAAAAAGCCTATCTGAA